CGGCCCTGCCTCTTGCCTCAGGGCCCACGGTGGCTGATGCCTCGCTGGTTCTTTGTCTCATGCCCCCGGCTCTGGCTGCTCCTTTATTGTGCAGATACATCTCACCCCATTGCTGCTCCTTCCATTCAAGTGACTGCATTTTTAGTGCCTTTGCAACAACCCTGGGCGGTTTACCAGGAGCAGGGATTTCACAGAGGACTTCTGGATCTAACATGGGCTTCCATTGCCAGAGCTAAATGACTCACCTGCCGTAGCTCAAAAGGTAGTGGCAGAGTCATAAACCTCCATAGCTGGACTGGCTACTTTAAGGGTCTCAAGAACCACTTGGTGTTAGCGGGTCCCACCTGCTTACATGGCCTGCTTCTGTCAGGTGTCGAGCGCCCCGTGAGCCGGGAGTGGAGTGCCCCATGCCCCTCAGGAAGGTATTAGCACCTGGATGGACCAAACCCCATGCCAAGTTCCCTTGGAATACGATTCCCCACTTACCCGATGGTCCCAGAGGAGAAGGCGGGCTGGAGAAACAAGAGCCCATGGGTTTCCAAAGCCGCGCCAGCTATTTTGAAGGCCCACCATGAGGCACCTTAAAAAGGAGCCTCCTTTCTTCCAAGGCAGGGGACTCGGCCCTTTCTGACCAACAGCCCCATTTCAGGGGTGTCAAGATGGTCCCCCAAAAATGAGGAGCCCTTTGAAAAGGGCTTGCCCAGAAAATGCTGAACTCTCGAGTAGAGAGTTATACCCTTGGTTCCTTATTTCTACCCCTCCATAGTAGCGGTTCATGGCTGTCCCGTAGTACTGCCTTCAGGGCCCAGCACACATTGGGGCCTCGTTGCACAGGGCATTGTACAGACATAGCAAAGGGACAATCCCTGCCTTGCAGAATTCACCTGGGTCTGGAACGCTGTATGGGTCTGGAACACTGTATGGGCCTGGAACACTGTATGATTCTGACTGAGAACAGGGAAGGTGACGAGTACCCCGGTACATGTTGTTCAAAGCTTTAAGACCTGCCTGGGGGCCTACATGTGGTGGGAAGTAGGGATGTCAGAGTTGAACCGATTAACCGTTTCACCTAAGCTGATGCTTATTGGTTAATGGTATCAGTTAAACTCAGCTGGCTCCCAGGGCACCGAAGCCTCCTTCCCGGGAGCCAGGCAAGCAGAGGGTGGTGGCCCCGCCCCCAGGAAGGCATTGCTGCAGGCTCTGCAGTATAACTGGACTCATGCCTCAGCTGAAGAAGCAAACACCACTTTGGATGGTGTGCTAGGAGAGTCGCCTTTCACAGCACATAGATTTTTTTTTAGCGGTTACACAGTTACCATATTGAATGTTTTTAACATCCCCAGTGGGAAGGCTTGTCTGGTGACCCTGAGAGTTATGCTGGACAGGATTTCCCCACTCACCCGATGGTTCCAGAGAAGTCAGGCTGGAGAAACAAGAGCCCATGAATTTCCAAAGCCGCGCCAGCAATTTTAAAGGCCCACCATGAGACATCTTAAAGAGGAATCTCCTTTCTTCCAAGGCAGGGGACTCGGCCCTTTCTCATCATCAGGCCATCAGGCCACCGGGAAGGGACTGGACAAAAAGCAGTGCTGGCTGGGGGGTGGGCAATCGACCAACATCTGGTCATTATAAAACGTGAGACTATAGAAATGCACCGCGAAGGCCTTGCTGCAGCAAACATGATAGAAAGGAATGGCAGGGCTTGGTTTGTGTCCCAGGCAATGTCTGACAGCTCAGAAAAGGATTCAGACAGCTTTAAAGGGAGAATGGTTAGGCTGAAGGCCCCTATTAACAGCAGCGGGTGAGCGGCAGCAGGTTAGAAAAGAAAAATATTCTAGCACACCAGCCACGGTATTATTTGCTTCTTAATCGGAGGCACAAGTCCAACTGAAACACTCCCCCTGCCTGAAAGGGAAACACCCTCGCCAGCTCTGAGAGATGATCGGAATCGACCGCACTCGGCGCTTCACTTACATGTGCTCTTCTCATGCCTTCTGTTTCGGCTGCGTTCTTCACGGCCTTCGCGATGCACAAGGGGGTGTACGGGGTGAGGTAGCGGTGAGCCTAGAGCATAAGGAAAGGGATTACATCCTGGGCATTCACACCGCACACGCTTGCCTGATGACGAGCTGGGGCTTTAGCAGAACCGCAGTTTGGACTTCTACAGCAGCCTGGCTCTCTGCCTATGGCTGGCGGATTGCTACACGCCGGTCAGAACATGGCCGAGGAACAGCCCCTGCTCTGACGAGCTTCCTCAGCCTTCATTAGAACTCAGAGAGCAAACTAAGAGCCACAACCAGCCACAGGCAGTACCTCCGAACGGTCAGCCTTGAGCGGCACGTGGGACAACGAAGGCACAAGAAGGCTTAGGCCCCAAGCCTACAATCTTGGGTGCGGCAGTTGAGACACGTAGGGTCTGTTCGGCAGAGGTTCTGAGCACTTACTAAGCCAAGTGTATGGTGAGCTGCGTCCCTAAAAACCAGGCCCGAAGAGTCCGACCCCCCGTGCCATCAAGTGGCCTTAAAGCAGGCCGAGGTGGCCGGTGGAGAGTAGCCCTTGGGCAGAACTTTCCACTGGCATAAGACTGGAATAAGGGATGATGGAACCACCTCCATTACTCATCACCCATCCTCGGAGAAGGGGAAGGTGGAGGCAAGCTGAGAAGACTAGAAGAGGAAGGGGGTTAAGGTTGGACATATTCCTGGAGGTTTCCTCACAGGACATCATCTTTCATTGAAGATTAATGTTTGATCCCTGGAGACACTAGCACATTCCTGGGGGCGAAGGGGGTGCAAGCAATACCAGCAAGGTTGCAGAAGAGCAGAGCTCTATTTTGATCAATCCTCCATGGCAGCAGCTCCCCAAGGGACGTCTGGGGTTGCCAGATGGTTTAACCAAAAATACAGAACACACTCCCCTTCCCCCCCCCCAAAAAAAAAACCACTGGGGAAAAAATTCTGTTGAGAAAAAAAAGGGGGAGACCAAAGCTGTTGAGGAAAAAAAAAAGGACCCCGAGAGTTAAGCAAAAAAAATTTTAAAAGTTTTTAAAAAAGCCTGGCCCCTTTAAGAAACGCTTTTGAGGCTTTTTGGCCCTAACAGGCTGCTGGCGGCCACCTGCCATCTTGTCTCCCTGTGCCAGGACGGACAGCTCCCCTGCGGAACCCAGTAAGCACGCAGGGTTCTCGCCTCCTGGCTGGGAAAAAAAAATCAGAAAATACCAGACATTTTAGGTGTCAATACGAGACACCTGGCAACCCTAGGGACTTCACACCAATGCCAAGTTAAAGTTGCCCATCTGCAGATCTCCCTTGTGCCAGGGCCAGGTAGCTGAGTCAGGGATCCACAGCCAGTCTCCCTTGTGTCTGACCTATGCTTGGACATAGTAGAAAACAAAGGCCTCGCCAGGCAGCTGGGACTAATGAAGCCTTTCAAAAAGTTGTGACAGAAGTGACTTTCCTGAAGTCTCACAGCAAATCAGACACAGAGCGAAGAATAGAGCCCTGGTCCTGACTCCCATGCCTCTGCTCTGACCACTAAATGATTTACCATTTCCAAATATTTTACAGTAGCAGGAGAATGCTCCCTTAGAACGTCACAGTAAAAGGTGCTCAACAGCCATAGGAAATTTCATTTACCAGAGGCAGGACAGACTCCAATGTATTTAGGATGTAGGTTGACAATTTTACATACGTGGTCAGGGTGTATTTATCTTCTGCTAAAAGTATATTTACATCTTGAGCAAGCCACTTAACTCCTTTTCCCCTCATCCCTCTGTCTATCTTATTCCTAGGCTCTTCAGGGGCAGTCTTGCGCTGTGTTTGCACTGGGCCCAGCACAACGGGGTTCTGGTCTCAGCGGAAGTGTCCAGGTGCTAAGTTAATGTAAATTAATCATAATAATCCTATATTACTTATTATGAGCCAGACCCTTAGCCATATAAACTGATACAACTACACTGCGATTGAACCGGTGTCTCCTTTAAGTGTAGTACAGATTAGGGTCCAAAGGACCCCTGGTCCAGGACACGTCCCTTTAAAGGCCTTGGGACTTTGGAGTGGACAAAGGGAGTGGAGTGGAGGGGCAAGGCAGGTACTGGAGAGAAGTGGTTTGTCCTAGGGGAACAGCTAATGGTTGGGAACAAAACCCACGGTACTGTTTCTTTAAGGGATTGTGTGGGGCAAGGCTCCCCTCTCTCCCAGCCAACCAGGATGAGCCCTGGGAAGGAGGGGCCATATATACCCTGCCTCCTCTCTAGATAAAAAAAGGGGCCAGCTGGGAAAAGCTGGTTTAAGGCTGCAGCTGACTAGAGCAAGCACAGCTCCATAGAAGGAGGCTGCAGGACTTCTCTGGCCAGGCAAAGCAGTCTGATTGAACACTCACCAGACCTCAGGCAGGAGGCTGTGGGACTCAGGATCAAATGAGGAGGAGGATGGGCCCAAAGGAGTTAAAAGACGCTATTTGGAAGAGAACGAATGAAGGCCCCACAAAAAGGCCTGAATACTCTGGACGGAGTCTCGATCATTGCAAAGAACTCAAGGGGGAAACTGAGGGCAAGGTGCCATCAGGACCACACCAGGCCACAGGATGGCACCCTGCTACGAGGCTCTTTCAATTGACTTAAGCTAAGGTTCTGGTCCTTTGAGTTCCGCTACTCTGGCAAAAGGTGTTTTCATTGACGCCAACACTGGTTTCTACCAGATGAAGAGTTGACCCAGCCATCCAAAATTAATAAACCCAACTATCCTGAGAAGAGGCCTTGCAGCGCGTTTTAGTTCTGTACAGCCGTTTTCCACGGCATCAGCAATCGGTACAGAGCAATGTGCTGTTGTCAGGAGGTGAGGTTTGACTAAGGAAAGAGGCCGGGAGATTTATCTGGGTTACACATGTTCTACATCCTGATGATTTGTTTTTCTATCAGGCAAAGCACACATGTTTCTTACGAGTTGGCAGAAAGGTACAAAGAGCACCATCATCGATCAAAGAGACTGGTGGCGGCGTAAATTATAACGTTTTCACAGGCTCCACATCTGTACTATCGCACAAGGCAGAGACACGGCCAACATACATAATCAGAGAAAAATAACACACACTGCTGGCTTTCTTGAACACAGTAAATGGCATGTTTGACAGGACAGATATTAGCTTAGGTATATTGTTAAATAGACAACAGGGGGATTTATAAACTGCCTTTGCAGCTGGAGAGGTTTGTTTCATGCGACATGAAACCTAGGTTGCTCTTCAAAACCCCATAATGTTTTTTTTTGCAAGAGAAGGGCCTTCAAACCCAGATGTCTCTGCCAAAATGCAGCTTAACAGCCCAACCCTGCAAATGTTCACTACAACAGGTAGGGGGCTGCAAGACAAGAACAGAAAACGTCATCCCAACCAGAGCGGCAGACAACGGCTCAGCGGCACAGTGGGCCATGTAAAGCTGTCTTGTAGATTATCCTGTGGGATTGGTGGCAGGAAGGGGATGGCTGGGACATAAACAACTACACGATTGGTTACATTAAGTGATCATATTGATGAGTAACGCCCTGCGTCAGGCCCACCTCAATGAAGCTGAGATCTCTCTGTCCACACAACAGGGACAGTTTCCCTGCACCACTCTGCTACTGCGTCCCCGAGTTTTACCACTGACTTCAATGAGAGCAGAGACAGGCCAGCACTGAGCACTTCCAAAGATGCCACCCAAAGTTTCACCCAGGCCTTCCATGAAGGCCCCCACCACCCAACTGTTCTTAATCTAACGCGGCCAGGGCCACAGACTGTCCAAGTGACAGTCTCAATAAGGGAAAGCATGAGAAGAAGAGTCATTTTAGAAGAACCCAACGGCTGAGATGGAGCTGCTCGCTGGATTGGCAATGGAGACTTTTCCACTCTCGGTCACTGGCACAAATCCATAATGGTCCCTAACAGTGGCTGTTTGGTGGCCAGTATGCCGTGAACTCAGGGCGTCTTCTCCAACTGCTGGGCAAGAGGCTACATGGCAAATCGCCAGGCCCATAAGAACCATTGCTTAGAGACTCAGAAAAGGGGCCGAGGAGTTTGTGGGCCTGAAGAGGACGTGTTGCTTCAGAACAGGCCTGAAACACCCTCCACAGGATGGTATAGAGAAGCGGTTCGCAACCACTGGTCCGCAGACCGGTGGCAGGATGCGAACTGCTGGCTGCAGGGCCACAGCAGCTGCCGGAGCTGAAGCCAACTGTTCACAGCAGCTTTGGGGGCCAGGGCTGGGGTACACCCTGGCCGTTAAACCACCGCACAACAGCCGGCATATGGCAGGCAGCTGCCGGAGCTAACGCCGGCTGTTTGTGGCGGTCCCCAGCCAGAGCTGGAGTTTTGGCGGACCAGTAACATTTTATTTGCATATTCAGTGTTTGCTTAATGAATATGCAAATATGTAAATAAAGTGTTGCCAATCCACCGAAAGCTCGTGAATGGGTTTGCTGGTCCGTAGAGTAAAAATCTTTGGGAACCACTGGTACATAGGAAGCTGCCCTAGCTCTATGGATACATAGGTGCTCAACCTCTCTGAAGATCCAGGTTCTAGGTGTCCTATATTGGTACTTTTCTCTACACGTAAATTACTCTTCTTTAAATCTTTACCCACCCAAAAGTCCTTACTCTCAGCAATAGTGCTGAGTGTAATGTTTACTTGTAGTGTATTATTTAGCCATTAATATCTCTCTATGCTCTATGGAGTTCCAGAGAGTGAGTAGTCTCTGGTAAACAAGGGAGACATAGCTGGAACTCAAGATGTGTGGAAGCCTGCTTATTTGTCAGTAATTATAGTTTTTTTCCGATATATTCTAAGGCCACAAGGATCCATGGTGATCATCTTCCTCAAAATAATTCCCCAAAATAATTCATAGAGCATATTTTAGGTATGTTTCCTTTGAATAAGTGCCCTCCTGTTTAAAAAGGATGGTTATACTCTGTATCATAATTAGAGAGAAACATGGGATAGGGCTTTCTTCATGAGTACCAGAAGATATAGTTACAAGCACAATACTAAGGTGTATCAAGTACAAAGGAAACAAAGCAATTCTGATATCAACAGTGTCCCTACACCTACATAGTCATGCTAACCCATCACAAGGGCAACCAGCCATTTCATGCAATCTGTGTCCTCATAATATTCCTTGCCAAATGAACACAAATCCAGTCTCCCTTGGCTCTTGCATCTCCTGACTATCTGTCAGACTCTTTGCTTTTTGCCTCCCACCACAAGCCACTGAAATAAATAAGGGAAGTCATCTCTAGATACCCCCACTAAGCACAGCCTCCCCACATGCCCTCTGGGGTTCTATCCACACCTGAATCATTGGGTGTATTTCATCTATGCCATGTGTGGATCAGTTTCAAGATCCATGCACAGGGAGCCTAGTTTACCCACATCTCCCCAACCCTCTGCTTCCACTGTTCTTGTCTTACCCTGAATCTGAGGATTCTTAGGGTGAATTGGCTTATGAAGCTTGAAGGCTTGCCCTGTGGACAGCTACCCCTGCACTCAACAGCTCTCTGACAATCCGGCAGTCTCTTCAAACCCACCCTCCGGCAAAGAATGAGACTTGTAGCACCCGGCACTGATGGGAAGCCGAGAGCTCATGCCTTAATTAAAAACACTCATCACACCAACCTTGGGAACAGCCTGGGTCAGGGCATAGCTGGCTTTGTCACTGAGCCACACTTTCCCCTGGGGGGAGAGAGCCCCACCGATTGCCTGCAGCTCCGTCAGGACGGATTCATATGGCGCCACCTGGATTTTAAACTCAGCCTCCAGGGCGGAATCCAGCAGCAGATGTTCCCTCACGGACGGGTCTGCCACGCGGTCGTGGTTGATAAACAGCCTGCAGAAACATACCAGCAGAGAACACGTGGGTGAGACTTGGGCTTCAGCCGGATGGAGTTGTGGGGAGAGGGGGGGGGGGAATCACACGGTTCTGATCACATTTAACAGAGAGAAGGAGGATGTAATTATAAATACGACTGTGCACTGATCCAGACAAGGTTATCCAAGGATCGCCACGCACTTTGCAACCCGCATTCAAATTAAGCCTGACAACCACCCCCCACACACACCTTCCCGGGAGAGATTATATAACTGAAGATAACGGAGAGGGCTCAGAGCATGCACAGAGCATGTCAGCTCACAGCTGGGAACAGAACTTTCACAAGAGCAGGGTTTTCAAACTGTGGGCCGTGATCCAGTGCTGGGTGGTGGACACGGGGTCTTGTGGCTGCAGGAGGGTCAGGTGATAAGGGGAAGTACTAAAGCAGGCTACTTGCCCGCCCTGGCACTACAGACTGCACAGCAGGCCCGGGTTGTAGGTGAGGGAGGGGGAGCACACAGGGCTCCGTGCACTGCCCCTGCTCCGAGCACTAGCTCCGCACTCCCATTGGCTGGAACCTGCTGCTGGGGCGCAGCATGGTCTCCGGTGCCAGGAGAGGCAGGAAGCTGCTTTAGCCCCCCAACTGCACCACTGACCGGGAGCCACTCGAGGTAAGCCCCTCCTGCCACAGCCCTGAACTCCCACCTCCAAAGCCGGAGCCCCCTCCTGCACCCCAAAGCTTCTACTCCTCAGCCCCACCCCGGAGCCCCCACACAGTCACATTATGTCTACACTGCACCGTTATTTCGAGATAACAAGCGTTATTTCGAAATAACAATGCGCGCGTCTACACAGCCATTCCGTTCTTTCGAAATAATTTCGAAAGAACGGACAGCTTATTCCAAAATCTGTAAACCTCATTCTACACGGACTAAAGCCAACTTTGAAACAGCTATTTCAAAATAAGGCATGTGTAGACGCTCCACTGCTGCTATTTCGAAATAGCCCCTCCCCAGGGCCATTCTCAGTTGTTCCTCCCCAGTGCCTCCTGGGGCTCTAAATCGAGATAGAACATCTACATTAGGGGAGCCTGCCTCGGACTAATTTTGAGGCTTCCCTGAAGTGTAAACGTGCTATTTTGAAATAAGCGTGCAGTGTAGACGGAGCCTATGTCGGGCCACGCGCATCAATAGCTTTCTGCAACTGGGTCATGGGGGAAAAAAGGTTGAAAACCACTGCACTAGATCATACACGTTCGGCTAGTACCTTTATGTGCCTCCATCCTTGGGTCCCACGGAAGCTTGTTGCACAGAACAAAAAGAGAAGGATCCTTGGTGCCCAAAGCCCCAAAATCCCAGAGTACAGCAGCAGCTGTCATTGTGGTTTTGAAGTGACCCTTCCGCTAAGTGACGTCTCAAAAATCCCTCCCTGGATAAAGTTCTCTAGCACCTGCCTCACTGCCGGTGGCTCCTTACAGCCCCTTTGGTACAAAGATCTCAAACTATTTTCCGTGATCCCAATGGCACAGAGGGGGGAACTGCCGCACAGAGAGGTGAAAGGACTTGCCCAGAGCCACACGGTAGCGGAGCAGGGACCAAGCCAAAGGTTCTTGACTTCATCACCACTATGATGACAAGGGAGCAGGGGGAGCTAAATGGATTATCCTGGAACATCAAAGTACTAGGACGGGGCATGAAGGTGGCAAAGGCAGTTTAAAAGGACACACACGCTGCGAGAGCCAGTCTCTCGGAGTAAGCAGGCCTGGAACTTCAGGGCAACACATGGGAAAGATAAAGAAGGAACAAGGCGGAGACCTGATTGTGTCGGTTCCTATGACAGCATAAGCAAAAAACACTGGATTGTATTCAACGTCTGAGCCTCGGAGGTTAAACAGCCCTAGGAAAGAGAAGAGAGCACAGAATCAGTCTGGTTTCATCACTGCAATTTCCACAGTCTTAGAGAAGGAAAACAAAACCAAACTCCGCTGGCTCCACAGCAACCTTCCAGCGGCACACCAGGGCTTGAAGCCAGAGTTCAGCTGTTGTAATTCCCCAGAGCTTCGCTGGCAGTAATTTGTGTTCTCCACACGATGGCACCAAATAGCTGAGTACTAATAACCCCAGCAAGATCTCTTCAGGCTCTGTCTGAGACGGCAGGGGAGATACCAGCCAGGCAAGGAGGTTTTAGCTCATCTGTGCAATCTGACAGCAGCTCACCCCTCATTCTCCAGAGTCTGCTAAGGTCCATAGCTCACATGCAGCCATGGGACCCTCAGAGGCAGGCTGTAAATCCCCCCCCCCCGAATTTCTCCAACACCCCCGCAGTTTTGTGAACTAGTTACATGCCAATTTAGTAATTGTTTAGAGATTTGAATTGAAATTGAAACATTAATACACACTTTAAAAGCATATACAGTGTATGATAAGATATGTGTATCTGAAAAAGTATAATAGATTTTACAAGTATGGACATAGACTAGCTTCCTTATACAGCTGTTGTTTTTATGACAATGTCAGTGCATTCACTTTGGTGATGTTGGCCAACCTAATAATTTCAAATTATGATTTGTAAGCCAAGTCACAATGAGCTCTCCCTGAGAGCTAGTGATGAGCTGGAGGCTGGGGGGAAAGGCTTCAGGACCTGATTGTATTTACAATCACACCTAATCTACCTAGGTATCCAGCAAACAGAGCTGTGTTGCCCAAGTGATAGATTTTGGCTGGGGTTGGGTTACAAATCACTTGAATGCAGAGGGGGGTGGGGTGGAAATGAAATGTTGTTGTTCTTATTGTATGAGTAAAGGGCAGTAGAACTGTACTTAACCATACTGATTGAGGGCATCAAGAGAGAGGGTGGGGGACAGGTGTTTTGCTTGATGGTCTGTCTGAGTCACAAGTACTATTTGATCAGCCCCTCTCCACTGTTTAAAGACAGAGCTGATTAGGTTCCATATATAGTCTTTTGTTTTGACCACTACAGCTGAAATCACTGATAATCAGGTCTAAGTGCTTAGTCCTGCTGTGGGGACAGTGTTTTTGTGTAAGAGACAGCCCAGACTGCACTAGCAGTGAGGTTTCCCCACCGAGAGCTGGGTGGAACCTCAAGAGACCAACTTGCAGAGGTCAGGTGACGGCGCAGGGCCATTGGCAACAGAGCGGTGAAGTGAACGGTGGCACAACGAACAACAGTGGCCAGAGCGAACAGTGAGCAGCTGGAGGAACAAGCAAGGTGCCTTCTTTCCCCGCACCTGGGAGATGTACTCACATGAAAGCACCCCTGAACTCTGAGTCTCCACTGACCAAGGACAACACCGGTGAGTGGGGTGAGGTGGAGGGGAAAATATGGGGCACACTAAATAAACATTTGTTTGTTGGACTATATTTTAGTGACTTTGCTCCAGAATGCTAGATTTGTGACTGGGAATGGAAACTTATATAAATGTGTTTCCTAGTAGGCCAAGATTTTTAAAATGCATTATTTGCCAAGGTTGTTCTTTCACATCATTGCTATCTTGCGAGGTCATTATGTTGGGGAGTTTCTGTACTAAACATTTTTATCATTATAATTAATTTTTACATAAGAATGGTCATACTGGGTCAGACCAGTGGACCATATAGCCCAGTATCCCGTCTTCCGACATTGGTCAAGGCCAGGTTCTTCAAAGGGAATGAACAGAACAGGTAATCAAGTGATCCATCCCCTGTTGCCCATTCCCAGCTTCTGGCAACATGCTAGGGACACTCACAGCATGGTATTGCATTCCTCCCCATCCTGGCTAATAGCCACTGATGGACCTAGTCTCCAGGAATTGATCTAGTTTTTTTAATCCTGTTATAGTTTTGGACTTCATAGCATCCCCTGGCAAAGAGTTCCACAGGTTGACTTTATGTTGTGTGAAGAAGTACTTCCTTTTGTTTTTTTAAAACCTGGTGCCTATTAATTTCATTGGGTGACCGCTAGTTCTTGTGTTACGTGAAGGATTAAATAACATTTATTCACTTTCTTCACACCAGTCAAGATTTTATAGACCCCCCCTATCATAATCCCCCCTTAGTCGTCTCTTTTCTAAGCTGAAAATTCCCAGTCATTTTAATCTCTCCTCCTGTTTCATACCCCTAATCATTTCAGTTGCCCATCTCTGTACCCTTTCCAATTCCCATATATCTTTTTTGGGATGGGGTGACCAGATCTGCACACAGTATTCAAGGTGTGCACGTACCATGGATTTATATAGAGGCAATATGATATTTTCTGTTACGTGTTTTGGTGTATTTTGCCTTATCCTTATGTTAAATTTGCATTATCCTAACAAAACATTTAATTTATTCATATCTCTTTTATACGTTGCTGGTCAAATTGAAAATGAAAAAACAAAAAACAATACAATTTTTTCACTCAAAGGCCTCAAAAACTAACCAAGGTGAAGAAAACATCAAGAACCAAATCTGAAGAGTCAAGTGGTGTATCCACATCTGATCAGCCCAAAGCACAAATACAGCTACCTACTGAAGAAACATTTTCCAAAACCTAAAGGCAGTTCCCAATGTTTGTCGATCAAAGTGTTCCCATTTACTGAATTTACAAAAGATGGCTACTGGTGCACCTTTTGCAAAAAAGCTTACGAAGAAGGAAAGCTTTCCAATGCTATAACTGGTAAAAGTGGAGGAGCTTGGTTTGTCAGACCGATCAGCAAAGCCAATGCTGACCAACTATGTGAAAAGGCCGCAAAACACCAGGCCTCTGGACTGCATCAACATGCAGAAAGCCTTATAAGCCCACTTTCAAAGCCAATTTTAGAAGTACTTAACGAGGGTGTTAAGAATGCTGGAGACACAACACAGTTCATGCAAACAAACATGGCTGTGGCATCATACTATCTATTTAAGCAAGAAATACCACACACTACAAACTGAAGGCCAATGTTAAGTGCATTGTCACTTGTTCATCCTGAAGTTGAACACTGGTTCCGAACAAGACCAGCAAATGCTCGCTATCTTTCTGCAAGAAACTCAACTGACTGGCTAGAAGCATGCGGTGCAACAGTGAAAGACTCAACAGTTGAAAAAGTGAAGAACTCTTTCACCACATTCAAAAAATGTGCATACATGGCTGACGAATGCACTGATACAAATAGGCATCAAGTATTAAGTCATTGTGTACATTATCTTGATGTCAGTGGTAGGCCAGTAGATGCATTTCTAGATGTTCAAGTTATAGAAAACACATCGGCTGCATCTGTGACAACCCACATCTTAGAAGAGTTAAATGCTTGTCAATTGGACCCCAAACAGATGGTTGCTTGTGCATTTGGTGGAGCTGCAAACTTCTCTGGAAGACATGGTAGAGTACAAGCTTTGCTCAGAGAAAAGTGTAACCCTAATCTCTCCTATACACACTGCAGAGGCCATCTACTCCAACTAGCATTAGTACGAGCTGCAGAATCTTCAAAAGACATTTAAAAAAGCTATACATGCAATATCTTCATTATATTCGTTTTTCAGCAAGAGTCCAAAAAGACTGAATATCTTGGAAAATACAGAAGATACACTGGGACTGAAGTTCAAATTAGTCCAACCTGGGAAAACCCACTGGCTTTCTCATGAGCGATCCTTGGCCGTTGTCTTAAAATTACTCCAGCCGTTATTACTGGCTTTGGAAAGTATCTACCAAGATGGGATGGACCTAAGTAGTGAGGCTGGTGGATTACTTTTGCTCCTACGTTCAGAGAAGACTATTGCTATTCTCTCTCTGGTAAATCTACTGTTGAAACCACTTGGGTCATTACACAATGCCATCTAGGCATCTGCTACAACAGTAGTAGATCTTTGTCCAGCAATAGAAGCTACATTTGGATCAATCAGAGAGCTATCCATTGAAAAAATACTGGAAGAAGCAAAGATTTCAGTCTAGAAGTTGACTAATGAAGGCATTTATATTGAATCCTTAAGTGAAGAGGACGAGAAGTGTTTGTTAAGACAACTGAAAAAGTACACAGACTTGATTCTTAAAAATCTACAACAGTGACTTCTAGATTCTACTCAACCTCTACGTAGCTTTTACAGATGCCTGTCCTATAAAACACCGACAGTTGAGAGGAGTGAGGCACTACCAGCAATGGGGCTGCCATGTGCTCAGGACAGAACAGAGAATTTGAACACAGAGTGGAATATCATTTGACAAATGAATGAAGATTTGACTTCAACTTCTTTTTTATCATCACTAGTGGCTCGACCGGATCTTTGTGCTGTTTCCTGGGATGAAAGAAGTAGGAATTCATCTCTTGCTACTCCCATTCACAACAGCTACAGCTGAACATTCTTTTTCTTCATTGAATAGAATTTTGTGTTCTGAAAGAAGTTACCTTCTGCCTGATCATGTGAATGAACTAACACATGGATCAGTTGAAGGAATGGAAGTACCGGACACATGAGAAGCCATCGAAGATGAACGCATTGCATTCGAGAAGTTCATTAACAGAGTTGTGCAAAATTATAACAAGAAACCAAGAAGAATGTAGATTTAGTGCTTCATGGAAGGCTTGAGTAGCCAACTTTAATTTGTGTGATTTTAAAACATGAGTTAAATCTAATAAAATGGTCATGAAACATTTTTTCAGTTTTTACTATGGTGCCATGCAGCCCACCTCCACCCTTAGGGTATGTCTACACTTCATGGCTCCATCGACGGAGCCATGTAGATTTGTTTACTGGGCAAAGGGAAATGAAGCGGCGATTTAAATAATCGCCGCTTCATTTAAATTTAAATGGCTGCCGCGCTGAGCCGACAAACAGCTGATCAGCTGTTTGTCGGCTCAGCGTGCTAGTCTGGACACTCCGCGGTCGACATCAAAGGCCTTTGTCGACCGCCCCGGTAAACCTCATCCCACGAGGAATAACGGGGCAGTTGACAAAGGGCTTTGATGTCGACCGCAGAGCGCCCAGACTAGCGCACTGAGCCAACAAACAGCTGGTCAGCTGTTTGTCGGCTCAGCGCGGCAGCCATTTAAATTTAAATGAAGTGGTGATTATTTAAATCGTCGCTTCATTTCCCTATGCCTACAACCCTAATTTACATGGCTCCATCAATGGAGCCATGTAGTCTAGACACAGCCTTACAGCCTCACCCCTCATCGGCCCTGACACACACTCCCCTGTAAATTCGAACATCCCCCCCCTAATTTCAATTCCTGGGGAAAACACTGCTCAGAGGGAAGAGGGGCACAGATAAGTTAAGACCAAAACCTTTGATTGTGGCCACAGGTCACTGGTAACTCAGGGCGAAGGCAAGCAGCTCTGCGGGCAATTGACCCCTCTGTGCACCAAGTTTCAGGCCCTCTGAAGCCCAGGAACTCAAATCTTGGAAGAGTGGCTCCAGCAGGCGAGGTGCGAGCTCCATCTGCAGCACTGGCATTCGAGTCCAGGGCTGGGTCCGCTGGGCCCCCTGATATCCATGAGGACAGTCAGGAGGCAGGTATATGCTTGGAAAAGACTGTGCTTCATCCAAGTAACTTGGGACTGGGTAGAGGTCCCATTTCCCAACCAGGAGAGAAAGTTGTGTTGTAGTGCAGAGGAGGGGATCCAGATGTGGCCCCCAGCTTGCCTGGATCTGGCACCCGAGTCTCAGAGCTTCCCCCTAAGTTCTGGTGTGCAAGGGGACTGCCTTTCTCCTTCACAGTCTGGGGCTTGGGGTTTTGGGGTTTTGGGTTTTGGTTTGGTTTGGTTGGTTGGGTTCTTTTTGGTTTTGGTTTTTTGCTTTTCTCGTACGTGGCTCCCAACTGATTTTTCTGTGGGCCAATGGCCCCCAACCCAAAAAAGGCTCCCCGCCGCTGTTGTGGTGTCAGGGAGATCTGACAAACTAAGCCCCCAGGATACTTACAAGCTGCTTCGTCCAGGGCGGTGACCACAAACCAGAGGGCTTTTCTCTCAGCCATTTTCGCACGCAGAGCTGCAACCTTCTCTTTCCAGCCTATCCCTGGGAAATACATTTGCCAGCTGTGAGTGGGTTGGGTTCTTTAGTTACACATGCTATTGCCACCTCATGTGTTGCCTCACAGCAGAGAGGCACAGCCATGAAGCCCCAATGCAAAGAGCCCAGAATGTTCTAGAAGCCTGACCCCCAATTTCTGGCATGTCTTCCCTACTGCTCCTTTATGACAAACATCCCCAGCTTCGTCAGCAGCATACAGGCGCGTGTTTGTTATGAACCCATCACTGTAGTATCTAGGCACAACCAATGCTTATGTCTGGTTTCCAAAACAAAAGAAGTCGTTGTAGAGAATAAACAAGAGTCTTAATTTAATCCAACAGCACATCCGGCTGCAGTGATACTTCTCCTGTCGCTTTATAAGGGAAAGGGAGGAAGAAGAGGGAAGGGACAATGAATCCATTCAGTTAGGACTGGATCTCACTAACCTGTGTAGCTCAGGTCCAGGGTCATCAGAGGTCTGCAGGGGCGCGGAGGGCGGTCTACCCAGATTGCATCTATCAGGTTCTCTTTGACCGGCACAAGAACATGGCCGGCACTTTTCAGCGCTTTAGACATCCTCGTCCACTGATCTGCCAAAGGGGAGAGAGCTAAGAGCGCTGGCCACAAATGTCTTGAAACACAGGCATTCCCTGTGTGCTAGAGAAGACTGGAAAAGTCTAAGCTTCCTTCCCCACCGCTGCACCTCCTGCCGGTGAAGAAGTCGAAGCAGCAGCAAGATCCAGATGTAACAAGCCATAGTGACAATCAGATACGAGGTATCACGGTCACCAGTGGAAAATGAACCGGAGAGCTACAGCACCAAAGCCACCGGCCTCTAATGCTTCAGCTAAAGAGGAACTCACTTAGCTGCGCAGCAGTAATAGGCTGTAACATGGAAAGTGAAAAAGGATCCTCTGCCCCATATGGAGAATGTGGGGAGGCAGAATCTCATCACCCAACACGGCAGGCATAAAATAAACTAACCGGCTGGAATAATGAAAGGGTCCACACCGACTTTTGAGCCCTCTGGGAGCACGCTCACTAGCCAGTCCTCCTGCGTCGGCGTATCCTTCAGGCCTAGGAGTGGAAAAAGGGGTAAAATGTAGCACCGAGAAAACACACACAAAAGTGATTTGACACAGACCTCTAAGTGACAGCACAAGCTGACACAGAAGTCACACCCGAATGCAAGTGCCTGGACTGATATAAAAGCAGCAGCATCTAGCACAGGTGCTGATCCTAACACACAGTGCTCTTCCCTTGAGGTTTCCCTTTGGAAAGGCACTATACCCATCTGAGTGCATTCACACACCCTGGCAGTCGATTAATGGGACTGCAGGGAGCACCTCCAAATCCTGTTATTTAGTTCTCGGTCTATTAGGGGGGCAGTATCCTGAAGGACCACTCACCCATCTTCATGAGCATCCAGTTGCTATCCATTTGCTGTGCTGCCTGCAGGAAGTAACGTCCGTCCGTCCACATGGCTGCTTTTTGCTCAGTTATAATGGCAGTACCTGGTCAGGAAGCAAAAGGGAAAAGTCAGTTTGTGGTTCATCGGAAAGCAGAGGCACTTGGTACATCACAGATCTATGGGCGGCACAAGGTTCGCTTGAAGTGGGCACAGATGCTGGACAGTCCCTAGGAAGGCTCAAGTCACAGCTCTGATGCCACTCAGGAGAAACAAATTGTTCCCCACAACTAAGAGGCAAACTCCTTTGCAACTCTGTCCAGGCCATTCTACACTGGGAACTGGGTTTGCTGAACTTGCGTTTAAAGCTCCGCAGCCTAATGCAGTTTAAGCACAGCTCAACCAGTCAGCATGGAGGAGCCGAAGCCTGCTTTACAAATTATCATTACTGGAGAAACTCCTAGAAGCCGCAACTGAGACCCAAGTCCCATTGCCCCAGAAAATGCACCACACACACAGAGAGTCAGACTCTGCCCCAAAGAGATTACAGTCTAAACAGAAAACACATGAGAGAAGGGAAGCTTTATTATCCCCATTTTATGGAGGGAAACTGCAGCACACCAGCCATAGGTCAGCTAGGTACATAAGCAATGGGAATAAACTTCAATGGGACTAATCACAAGCCTAGGCATGTGCTTACGTGACTTGCTGACCCACGGCCAGAGGGATTTAGTGATGTGCCCAAGGCCACCCAGAGTGTCTGTGGCAGAGCCAAGAACTGAATGCAGGTTTCCTGAGTCCCAATCTGGCAGCATGATCATCTGACCTATTTTCTCCCTTACTGCAGTCTAGTTTACTGCACAGTTCTCACATTCCAGTTCACTCTCATCTCCCCCAGAAAAACACACGCTTACATTGCAACCCATTTAAAAATCAGTGTTTTCATTCAGCAAATGCTGTTTGAGCCTCCGCAGGGGCAAATCCTGCCCAGGTCTGGCTGTGGATCCACAGCTCTTTGGACAGCCTGTGGAGGCCCTAAACTGAAGAAGGGAAGGCTGCGAATCAGGGTTTGTGCTCTAGAACACGGCTGCTCTGCATTTGTGCAGGGTGCCTTCCACCAGAGGCTCGGAGAGCACTTCACAGAAACTGACCAACAAACCCGCACCGCACCCTGTGATGGTTTTTTGTTTTATTAACCCCAACTTCCAGCTGGGAGATGGCAGGCATAGGAAGGTAGAGCGACTCGTCCACAATTTCACAGCAAGTAAATTGCAGGGTCTGGGACAGAACTTTGCCTTCCCAACTTCCAGTCCTAGGCTTCAGCCAAAAGAACATCCCGTGCCTCCATGAGATAAGCAAACTTTTCCATACTCTCAGCTTCACAGTTCAGTATTTTTGGCATTCGCCTCATTCTACGATGATTGAAAGCGGCTGACAAACATTGTTTACTGTTCATCCCAGTTCCGCTGGGCAACATACAATCTGTTCGCAGCAGCCTCGTTTTAGATGAAAGAAAAGCAGCCTGCGAGCACTGCATTAAACAGTTAACAGGATTTTGCTTTCTGGAGGTTCGTGCTGGGGTCAAGCTTTTGTGAACACTCCTGACTGCATCGAACTTACATAATTTTCAGCTGATCACCAACACACAATTCTGCAGTTGCCGAAAGGGGAAGAGAACAGTCCAAACATTTTGGTTAGATGTCTCGTTCCATCCAGCGTGCGTGTTGTGAATTAGATCACTTCTTTGGAGGGGGAAATAGGGTCTCAAACAACAGAGGTTCTGGTAAGGTACCTGCAGAGCCATCAAATCCAGAGATGAAGGCCCGTCTGCAATCACAGGGCGCAATGTACTCACTCTGGAAAAGAGAAGACGCAGCTAATTACTTACATCAGCAATACAAAAATCGCTGATGACAAGTACATTAAAAAACTTTGCTTCAAGTGAAGGACACAGTCAAGAGAAACAAACAAGTTATAAGATTGGGCTCTGCTCCTTTGGAAGTCCTAACAAGTGTTTAAAAATTGTTCCTTTGGGACATTTAAGTATCTGCAATTACTTTGTATTTATATGGGTCTGATTTTTTTAACCCCCCCCTCAGAACTTTTCTCCCATCAACTTCTGTAAACAGTGAAGTGCTGCAGTTTGCTGATATTTATTTCACACACAACCTCCCATTTGGCAACAAACAGATCCTGCCTTTGAAGCTGCAAAAGTAAGGAGAAGAGAACACAGAAGCATTCCTCGATCTTGGAAACTAAAGTACACGGTCCATTAAGTCTCTAAATGCCACTATATTTATTGATGTCCTCCAACTGGGGTTTACAAGAAGCCCTTTTAGAATTTCTTCTCTACAACAAAGCTATTAAAAAGGAGACTGTCAAGGTTGTTAGGCCATAAAACTTTTAAGCCTTTAGGAGACTTATAATTAGACACCATGTCTACTACCTCTGTTTTACCTGTTCAAATCCAGCCCCGGTCAGAAGTAACCAGAAGTTATTGGCTACCATTGGAACAGTGCTTATTTTCCTATGTGAAACAAGTGAGAGGGGGAAGGGAGAGAGAGGGGTAGTTTCCGTCAAGATCAAAGTGTCCACATCATAAAACGATCTTAACTGGGCCCTTTGTCATCAGTCTCAGCAAAAACCCTGAAGGACTGAATAGGCTGGGGACACAGAAACTCCCGAAGTCCAGAATCTGCTGCCAAAAATGAAAGAAGAAACACTTCTAGCCAAGAAGTTACTATGTTTTGAAATGGCCAACACGCCCTATTCTGGGATCCTGTTCAGCCAAGATCAGAGGTCAGGATTGCTAAACTTGCTTCTAATTATCAACACAATTCAGGAAATCATCTTAATTCTGGCCAGCCCTATTTGCCTTGGCTCAACAGAGTCCCAGGCCAATGATCCAAGACAAAAGTCTGCAGATCAGCCTGGAGTTATTCTCTGCCTTCTTGATTCTGCGGCCACAGTGGAGAAATTAGGAACGCTGAAGGGTTCCAGTCAGATTAAATATCGTGAGTCCGATCCTCTCATGTGTCTAGCTTCCAGAGCATGCAGCAGACTGGAAGACGCTCAGTGAGCTGATGGTGGCTCTTTTAATCTGCTTGGAATCTGCCCATCTGCTTATTTTTAAAGTTCCTTTATTATGTTTCAAACATTAGTTATTAAATATAAATGACTCCTTTATATTCATGCGAGGCAGCTCCAAACCCACCTAAATGATTTAGGAGCCTGAGTCCCAGTGACTTGCACTGCTCTTAAGTCACAGAGACATCTGAAGAGCCCGGCCCTTATTTATTTACTTCTTTCTCTTCCCTTTCTCTCACCTTCCACAATGAGGAAAGGCATCAGTCTGTTTATAAATAGATATTAACTAGTTAATTTCAACATTGGGGCCTTATGCACTAACATAATGCTGTAATGTCTGGGTGACAAACACACCAGTGGGTGATTTAACGGCTTTATTTTTTTTTAAAATAGTGATTTTTTTTCCCTAACACACTGCCTTTGTCAGAATATTTCCATTGGTCTTAGCTTTGGCAACACCGTATTTAAAAAAATAAAAATCTTAATTTGAGGAAAAAAATTCTTCCCTGACAGTGTCCCATTCAGGGAAAGATGCAGGAAACATTTAAAGGAGGGGCTGAAACGAAGCACGGGCACAGATGGGCCATAAAGTACAATTCGTGGCTGTCAGGAAGGAAGAGGACTTAAGCAAAGGTCCTTTGTAGCCATTTGTCTATTTAGATTCTTCCAGAGAGTCCGATCACCACCATATCTGAGCATCAAGTCACCTCCTCTTCCAC